TCTAAACATTATAGGAATGTTACTTTTTAATGTTCTCTGAACATTTTGAAATTTAAAGAATGCGTAAATAATGTTTCTGTGGTAACATTTTGAGAAGACTGAGCGAACGTTTACTGGAATGTTTGTTCATAACTTTGCCAAAATGTTCTGAAAATGCATATGCATGATTATTAATTGGCAAGTATAATGACAAGGAGCCAATTTCACCCGAGTGAACAAGGTTTGACATTATTAATGATGTAAGATTAGAATATGTAAATATTAGCAAGGCTCTCGCTGACACACAGATTGACATTAAATAGATTCATTACTATATGCATTCATAAAAACAAAGTGGAAATTGGAGTTCATTCAGCTGCTCAGTTTGAGTCAAATCATGAATCTGTTCTAGAATGAGCTGGACTGTGGTTCAGAGCAATGCTCATATCGTTTGGCTAATAGTCAAATATGAGCTGACACATGGAAATCATCACGGAGCACATTAACATGAGGCTGTTCCCTAAACGACACACATTCACAACACCTTTCACTTAACAATAATCAGAAGACATCAGAAGAATCAGGTACACATGATGTGTTCATTAATATTATACTTTTATGTGGACGATGTTAGAGACAGTCTATGAACTGAAACAATGTCACATATATACACATTTATCTAGCCAAATATGTGTTAAAATAAAGCTTTATTTTAAATAAAAGAAATAAAATGTAATAAAAATGGTTACTTTTTTTAATTATTAATTTTGTATTTTTATGTATATAATTATACACTATATGTGTGTGTGTGTGTGTGTGTGTGTATCCACCCCGATCTTAATCCTAAAAGACAAAAAAATACAAATACAATATACAAGTTTACTAAAGTTCATACTTTTTTCAAAATTTTTATTATATTTTGTTATTTACATAACATTATTCTTTTTTATTATATGTATTTTAGTATTTATTTATGCCATTTATATATATAAATATAAATACACTTTTTATTACACACACACATGACCTACATCTTCAACAACAACAACAACAACAACAGAAAAGTTGACTAAAATAACATAAAATAATAATAAAATCAATAAAATAATAATTTCTATTTTGTGGCAGTAAGCTTTAGCTACATAAATACAAACACAGATTTATCAAATAAAGCTCACTGGCAAAATGTTAACTAATTACTGATAATCATAAATACTGTAATAATATGTTTGGTTTGGTATTAGAAGCATGCTGGGAGTATATTCCAGTCTGACCTCTGTCTCACAGCGGCTCAGTGAGGTGAACCAGACAGCAGTGATTGGCTCATACCGGCCAGCCAATCAGAGCAGGACATCATGGTGCAGGATTCCAAACTCTAAATCTGATTGGCTCCTGCAGCAGCAGCAGCAGCACTTCCAGGTGATGTGGTGTCAATCAGGTCCTGTGGCATCAGAGGACAGGCAGGCGAACATCCAGCAGCCCCTGCAGGAGAATCATCTGTTCGAATGTCACAATTAACCACTTAATTACTGATGGGAGGGGTCGCGGTGTTAAAGGGGTCAATACGGCCGAATATTATCAGTAACAAATGATTCTGCATTGAAGATGCTTAAGGGAAATGCATCTTTATGCAACTTCATGTTCGAGTAAACAAACATTTGCATTCACTGCAAATGTTAAATCATTTTGCTTTTATCCAAAAATGAGGGAAACAGATAATTTATCATAGAACAAAACATACAGTCAGAATGCATAATGTAGGAGATCATTTATTTGAACGGATCTATAAATTATGTAAATAAAAATAGCATCAGAAGCCTTCCTTACTTCATATCAAATATTCATTGCGCATTTAGAAATGATTCATTATTTATCAAAAGCGCTAGTGGAAGGATAAGACAGTAATGATGTGGATATCATAAATGTTATAAAAATACAGAGCTTTCTTCTTTGCATGAATTAAAACAATAGATATTAGACTTATATTATTAACATATATTTAAAATAATATAATTCTGCATGTTATTTTCAATAAAATGGTATGATTTTTAAGGTATTTGGGCAGTGGGATATTGTTTGATTGACAGATCACATTTGTCCATCAGGTGTTGAGTTCTGATGGATTCATCCAAAGCAAGATCTGGTAATCTATAATAAAGGTATTCAACAAACATTATGCGTCATACTGCCTAGCAGATCATTAATTGATGTACATTCAAATAGGAATATCATTAATGACACTTTGATTTACATATTTACAGTTAATGGTTTATCAGATGGTTTTATCCAAAGTTTATTTATAATTTATTTATTTAATAATAATATTATTATCATTTATCAATATTAAATGTAGGTCTAATTAATTCAATAAAAATATTATATATATATAATTTTTATGACTATATTCTCGACTGTTAGTAAAATTATTGCATTCAAGTTGATATGATTTTTTTTTAAACAGTTAACGGAGATGCAGTGTTATCACTGAGATACCATTATAGTTTGTATTAATATTTTGAATCAGTTTTATTATTTTCCGTATTTATTTTAATTTTAGTTAAATTTTAATCATTTTGTCGTGTGGTTTTGTCATTTTTAGTAGTTTTTGCTTTTTAAATATATTTACTATTTTTGATTTAAGTTTTAGTTATTTTAATGCAATAAGTTAAAATGATAAATGTTTTTCTTACATTTTATGCTCATGCTCATGTTAATTTTAGTAAGTAACGAAAATGTTTTTAAATGTAGTTTCAGTTTTATTTTTTAATTAATTGTATATATTCGATTCATAAAATACGTTCTTATATCCGAATGTACATCATACAGAACAGCATTATATAATCTTTTTCAAATGCATTTTGATGAAAGTCATCATAAAGTGTTACCAGACCTTGAGTGAACTGATGAGCATCACGATGCTGGTGTGTTTTCTCTCTTCATTCTCCGCTGCTCCTTTAAGAGCCTCCTCCTCCTCCTCTCCTGTATTTTTAGCTGACGAAGCCTCTTCTTCAGTTGAATAACACACACACACACACACACACACACACACACACACAGATGTGTGTACAGTATGATGATCCGTCTCATCATTCTCAACCCTCTCCAATCCACCCCGTGATATTTGGATCAGAAACATCACAGCCCTCGGGGGGAAAAAAGCTGCGCTGGATGCTGGAAAACACCAGAAGCATCAGCAGCACCACACCGAGCCGCAGCAAGATCCTGACGGATTTCTGAGACAGCTCAAGCGCCATGGATGAACGCGACACGATTTAACCTGCGCGTAAAAGAGCCTCAACATCCTTCAAAACGGACGGAGTCGTGGAGCATCGAGGGAAAACCCGGGCCAATCGGGACCGAGACTTCATGCCCAACATGGAGAGGGGCAAACCAGCCACCTACACAGGCGACAAGAAGGCAAAGATGGCTGCAAAGACCAACAAGAAGTGGGTAAGACTGGCCACCGTGTTCGCCTATGTTTTATCCGTGTCTCTAGCCGCGATCATCCTGGCCATCTACTACAGCCTCCTATGGTCACCAAAAGATTCCACCTCCACCTCCACCCC